AAAATTCAAAGCTTTGAATTGACAACTTCTTTACATAGTCTCCATTGAATCTTAAATTTTGCACGCATGTGCATACGGCCAAAGTGGACAACCCCATTAAATTTCAACTCCATTGACTCTCCAACGCGAAGATATGACTACCGCAAGATTTAGCCTTCAAAACCTACATTCAAACTCTGAATTGACAACTTATTCACTTCAACTTTTTTGAGGCTCAAATTTTGCGGTCATGTGCAATCAGCCCAAATCAACAACCCTGCCAAATTTTAGCTTCAAGTGACACTTCAACGCGAAGATATGGCTACCGCAAGATCCAGCCTCCAAAATCTAAACTCAAAGCTCTAAATTGACAACTTCTTCACACCGGCTTCGTTGAGTTTCAAATTTTGAAGTCATGTGAATTCCGCCGAAATCAACATGTCCACCAAATTTCAGCTCTACTTGATACTTCAGCGCGAAAATATTGCTACTACAAGATCCAGCATCCAAAAACTAAACTCAAAGTTAGAATTGACAACTTCTTCACACCGGCTGTGTTGAGTGTCAAATTTTTCAAACATGTGCGGCCAATTAAAGTTCACAATCCCACCAAATATCAGCTCTAGTTCACACTTTAGCGTAAACATATGGCTACCGCAAGATCCAGCCTCCAAAACCTAAACTCAAAGTTCCAAATTGACAACTTCTTCATTCCCAATCCGTTGAGGCTCAAATTTTGCAAGCATGTGCAAAAAACTAAATTCAATAATTGTATCAAATTTCAGCTCCAGTTGAGACTCCAGCACAAAGATATGGCTATCTCAAGATCCAGCCTCCAACATCTAAACTCAAAAGTCTCCAAATTGACAACTTCTTCATAACGGCTCTGTTGAGTTTCAAATTTTGCAAGCATGTACAACCAACAGAAGTCGACAATACTGTCAAATGTCAACTCTAGTTGACATCTCAGCGCGAAGATATAGATTCCAAAACCTAAACTCATACTTCCGAATTGACAACTTTTTCACACTAGCTCCATTGGGACTCAAATTTTGCAAGCATGTGAAACCATTGAAATTCAACAACGCCATCAAATTTCAAGTCCAGTTGACGCTGCTCTGCAAAGATATTGTTACCGCAAGATCCAGCGACCAAAACTTAAATTCAAAGTTCCGAATTTATAACTTCTTCCACCGGCTCCGTTGAGACTCAAATTTTGCAAGCATGTACAACCGTCAGTGTTCAATAACAACATTAAAGTTCACGTCCAATTGACACTCCAGCGCAAAGATATGGCTACCTCAAGATCCAGCCTCCAAAACCCAAACTCAAAGTTCCGAATTGAGAACTTCTTCACACCGACTCCGTTAAGTATCAAATTTTGCACGCAAGTGCCACCGGCTGTAGTCAACAACTCTGCCAAATTTATAGCTCTAGTTGATGCTCCAGCGCAAAGATATGGCTACCACAAGATCCATACTTCAATACCTAAATTCCAATGTCCGAGTTGACAACTTGTTTACATCGGCTCCGTTGAGGCTCAAATTTTGCAAGCATGTGTAATTAGCCGAAGTCAACAATCCCGCCAAATTTCAGCTTCAATTGACACTCCAGCGCAAAGATATGGCTACCACAAGATACTTTTTTCAAAATCTAAATTCAAAGCTCCGAACTGACAACATCTTCACACTGGCTCCGTTCAGGCTCAAACTTTGCAGGCAATTTTGCAAATGCAAACTCTATACTCATCTCTAGCAATTTCCTCCAATTGAGATTCATATTCCATGATGATTTAAACTCTAGCTCTTGTGCCTCATCAATCGTAATAGTGAGATATGAACCTTTCTTAAAAAAAGGTTCCTTCTCCTTATCTCTACGAGATATCTCTTGTCGACGAAGAACCGCGCCATTGTAGCATATTGCAATCTGAGCTTCAACTTTGGAGTTGTCCAAGTTGACACGAGTTCTGCTGTGTATCTGCTTGCCCATCTTGTGATTCCGCTCGCCATCGATGAATTTGGACCATGGCAAGAAATAGACATTTAACTTCATTGCTCATTTGTTTCCAAACCAGATGTGGATGCATAATTTTCAGTTGAAGATATGGATTGAATGGATTAATGCGGTGTGATAGAAGTAAACAGAAGTTAGTGATCAACTTTCCAACTAGGTCGGGTGAATTCTTCGCAAACTTCTGAAGAGCTGCTCGTCATTGCCCGTTCATGGAACTCTTTTCCAAATCCACAAACTCCAGATCGTACTTGATTTCAACATCCATGCAAATTTGATGGTAATATGGTTCTGTATAGAATATCAATGCCATGAATGCAGAATTAATCGTGACTAATTGTCGATGAAGCAACCTTACAAGATACTCAATATGATAGTACTCTTGCAAATCAAAAACCGTGAGAGTATTCTTTGAAAGAGATAAAATGTGGATCTCGATCAATAAAAAAATGATCAAAGGGGTAGATTGTAAAAACATTGACTTTCAAATGCCTAATGGCAGCACAAATGAGTCAAAGAAGATTTTCCATGGTTGTTGATCGCTTCTATAAGGTGATATGCAGAACCCACTACTTCATAATTTCATCAATATCCATATTCAATTCACAAACAAATATGGTGGAAGGAAGAAGACAAAGAACCATATTGACCAAGTTCAACCTAGCGAACATATACAAGCTTGTGATCCAACGAGATTAGGTGAATATAATGAGCACACAAGCAATTCCAAATTTCTTTTTACACAAGGTGTCATATAGAGAGTAGAATAGATGAGTACTCCGAATGATTTTCACAAGGTATACAGCCTCCTTAACACTCACTTTTGGAATTTTGAACTTCTTGGAAATATTCAAAATAAAATTATTCAAATCATGTGGAATACAACCAAATGCAACAGTGAAGTTTGACACCTGCAACACCTTCCTGCGAAGCAAAGCCATTACACTAGAACTATCCAAACGAAAACTTTTCAGTTAATGGATTAGGAAGAAGCGGTTAGACATCTTAACTTTTGGAAAAAAGAAAATGAAAGAATATTGCTATAGACTACAAAGTACCTCGTTCATGACATTTGTGTACGAAGACATAAATAGAGTTGTGCAAATATTTTGAGAAGTAAGAGGAATCGAAACATATCGAAGTGTATTAAAGAATCTATTCCATAATGTATGTTCAAAAAAAGTGAATGAAGTAGACGTATGATGCATTGGAAATCTAAACATACTCTCCAAATTATCATGATCATCTACAAAAAGAGATCCAATGAAAGATCATGGATTGGCTCGACAAAGATTTGTTGATTTGTGAGGCGATATCGGCTACACGAAAGTTGTGGAGCCTTCTCATCTTGCGTATTCACCTACAATTGATTCAATTTGACTTTTTTCCTTGACGAACCGTAAACCATTGACAATGATGAAGAGTTGAGTTGAATCCTTACATCATTGGATTGTATTCGCGACATAACATACATCAAGTCAATCATAGATTTATGACGCTTTGTGCATGTAATCACATACGCTTCCAGATCCTAACATCATTGGATTGCATTTATGACGCAACGTTCATCAAGCCAATCATAGATTTAGGACGCTTTGTGCATGTAATCACATGCGCTTCCAAACAATTGACCTTGGTCATGATGGCTAAATTGTGCTGCTTGCATGTGAACTTCAGGGTTTTTTGATTGCCTATAACAAACTTGTTGAAATCAAATAGATTTCAAATAGGGCGTCGAGATCGACAGCCAAATGCAGACGTTGACTTGTTAGATATGATATGTGGCGAATGATTTGATCTGAAATCTGAAATTGCAATCAAAATCCAAAATTTGAAAATTGAAGTTGAAATTCAAAATTGCAATCAAAATCCACATTAAATTGCATTCATTAGAGTTTGCAATCTCAATGATGCATCGCCATTATCAATTTCAAGGAGAAATTGACTACTTCAGATCACCCACACTTTGTAAGTGTGGATTTTGCTAGCGCTACTTTTCACAGTGCTCTCTGTAGATACTATACCTTCGATCCACACGAAATTGCAATAGCCAAAGTTAGCAATCCCAATGATGCATCTTCGAGAATCTGTACCTTCAAGCTTGTACTTTCTGTCGAGCTTGTTCCTTCGGTACCACAGTGGAGCTGGTGGGTTTAGAGACGTGTCAAGATAAAAGTATACAACGATGAATTTTAGCATCTTGTCCAATGGATCAATTTTCAAATTCAAATTTACATAATACAATATTAAACTCACCAAATTTTGATACCTAACCCTTCATAAGGGTGTTGACCCAACATCCTTCATTCATAGACCACAATATCAACTTCATGGAATTCTCTAGAGAAGTCAGTGACAAGGTTAAGCTTGGTTCTAGTTGCTCTGTTGAATTCTCATCCTAATTCTTATACTCACACAATTCGCTCATCACGTTATTCAATTCAAACTTATAATGGTTTCTTTTCATATCAATATGAGATTGGATAATTGAACGGCTTGCTTCTCGTATTTTATCCCGTTATTTTATCTACTTCCATGTTTGTAACCTCACTATACCTCTTTTTTTCCCCACGAAGTACATGCTTTCATGTCATCAACATCCTCAATCTACTTACTGGCATCAAATAATTTCTTTTAAAAATCTACTCGAATCCTCCATTAGGGAGCCGGATTGCTGTCATGTGTATAGCAGTGTCTAGTGCTCTCGGTGAATAACGGTAGAATCAAACCAGAGTCTAAATTGCCGTCTCTTGCACATCATATAAATCACTCACCTTCCCTCCTTCTACTATAGTCTGGCACCACATCAACGCAGTTTGGTGACTGGACGAGGCACTACTCCGTAAATCCGTGAGAACAGAGTTCGAACCTTATCCTAGACACAACAAGGCTTCGCCCTTTACAAGAACTCCGAGTCCTCATTTGGTGGCAGTCGGTCTGTCCATCCGTTTATCCATCTGGCGCAGCTCGATCGCTGCCTGCTGACTGGCATGCCACGTCGGCTGACCAACAGTCCCGTGCGAGAGAAACGCAATTCCCGCTCTTGCTCCTGCTTCTGCCTCTGATCGATCTTGTGCAGTTCAGTCGTCCGAAGCAACGATCGCATTGACGAGTCCTGCTGCCGGAAACCATGGAAGCTGTGGGAAGATTGTGCGGTGCGAAGCTGCCGCTCCATCGTAGAGTTGCTTCGAGAGGATTCACCGAGGCACGAAGTGAATCATGTGAGATTTGCAGAACGATCGATGGCAGCATCGTCAAGAGGAGAATCTCGTCCGGTCGCGTGTCGTGTGAGAAGGCTGCTCCAGTAGAAGCTCTCAGGCTATCGCAGGCTCGGCTCGCGGATACTTTGTCTTGCAGCAGCTCCGTGAAGGGACTGTCCGGCGCTCGTGTTCAAGCTCAGCAGGAGGAAGATCGCCACAGAGATTCAGCGACCCTTGTAAGGCCTGCCCGCTCAGGAATTTTAGTCTTTTCGAGTCCTCCCACGTTCTGTAGACCGGGCCATCGCCGGACCCAGTTGGAGGTGCAGAACGAACGTAAGTTAGATTGGACTTGCTGAATTTGCATTGATTGATGCCCAGGAATCCTTGTGGTGAGGACAGGATGCTGGAGCCAGTCAGGCGAGCGAATCCCTTGTGGAGGCGGGAAGAGGACGGGGAAAGATGTGGGCCTTCGTTACCAGCCTCTCGTTGCAGGGCGCCGTGACGCTGCGTGCCATGGCCAGCGAGGCCGAAAACTCTGCACTCCTCCATTCAGACACTCTGGAGACAGCAGCCTCTAGGGCTCCCGAGTGGCTCGCGCCTGCAATTTTCGCCTTTCCTGTCGTGTCCTACTTCTTGTTCGGCGTTTACCGGGATCAGGTGAGAGGACCATTGCCTACTCCCTTCTGAACGCAACGAATTCCCTCCTTATGCTCACAACAGCTCGGCTCAACGAACTATGAGTTTGTAGAATTCCTGAACCATAGATGATAGTCGTGCCTGTTCCCTTTCGATTCTTCAGCTGAGGATCGCTGAGCAGCGTGCGCCAGTTACTCATGAGGGCACTTTTTCCCTGTGACAGGTGAATCCAAATGCCAAGGTCACAGACTGGCTGTTCGGTCTGGTTGCTTTTGGCATCGTTGCCAACATCGTGATGCAGGTTACCTGGGGGGTATGAATTCTGAACTTTTCTCTCGTGGGTGGGGGAGATCCCAGACCGATTTTCGGTGCTGTAACTTTGTAATGGATCCATTCTGCAGATTTGTTCAAACTGATGTAGAACTGTGCGTGGCTGCTCCGGCATGGAGCTTGCTGCCTTGAGAATGTACGAAGACTTATGCACATCATTCGCTTGATGCAGGTGCGATTGTACTAATGTGCGGACAGCTGAGCTTCGCTGAAGTTACTGATCACATTCTGAAGCTTTCGATCACTTTCACTACGCCCGTACGCGGACAGAGTTGCAAAATTCTTTCTGCGGGTTGATCTGCTCCTGAATGTGGAGCAACATCCTTCGAACTGATAGATTAGTTCATTCTATGCTTCAAAGCACCAGTTACTGTCAAATGATGTTCCACTTCAGTTTTCCGGAGTCGGCATATTTTGTCTGCTCACAATTGATCCCACTTTTTTCCGGAAAACATGTGCCCAGGAAATGCAATGTGAGTGGCTGCGCTGCTTCCTAAGACAGGCACGCATGCCCAATGATGATGAATATGTTCGCAAGTCAGCCAGTTCCAAAATGTGACTAAAGGGCGTGGTCCAACAATTCTGAGCCGGACCAATATTTGCGAGCTGGGTACGAGCAGCTGCTGTCCAGGCTCGCTGACCTACTCAGGTTGGCAAAGAATCTCTGTGAGAGAATTAAATGTCCACAGCTTGTCTGCTTTACAGACTTGAGTCTGTGGAAAATACCAGAAGTAGGCCGGCCATCTCCAACTCCGTAATCTGTTCATGCTCTTCACAAGCTGAGCGCATCCTTTGAGCAAATGGCGACAGGGACGCTGGGTACGAGTGCGAGATAGCACAATATTGGGTCTTTTGTAATGCAAGACGAGACTACGTGCTCGTGAGGAATTTTTTTCTCCACTGTGAGATGAGACATGGATTCATAATTAACCTGCAACAGAGGTTTCAGGAACCTGGCCGAGTCCGCTTCGCAAGAAGCTCCTCTGCACTGGAGGTGTATATCCTGCTTCCGTCGTTACGTGAATCTACGATTTTGGCCCAGGACACCTTAGTGGAATCAGGAACCGTGCCAAACCACGGTGAAGTACTAAGAAAATTCCTCGACATTTGGTTCGAATAACCGCACGCTGTACATACCTCTCCTCGTAGATTCGGCGCCAAGCAGTGGATTGCGACACGCAAGTGTAATGTGCGTAGCATGTGCATGCAAACCTGCTGCTTCAATTTCCTATAATACTTTGCCCTTCTGGTAGATGCCTAAGGCCGATCAGTTGTAAACCTGTTCCCACGACAAGTCCGTGACGTAATGTCAGAGTCCACCATCCGGAACTGCTCTAGCCTATCGAGGTCGGTGGCCTCGGACCCAGAGGCCGAGATGTCTGCGGAACATCAAAGCTTTCAGGTACAATTCTATTTCGAGTGCCTGCTTCACGTGCATATATTTTTAGTATTTGTATGTGGTCTGACAAAGTACGGCACTCGGTCAAGAGAAAGAAATTACTAGTGGTCGCGGAAAAACGGTGCGTGAGAAATGAATGCTTTCGCGAATGCATCGCCTCCCAAAACCCGTCGCCGATTTCTCCCGTCGATGTTAAAGAGACCGCATTTTCACATCCTAGACAGCCGAGAAACGTCCCTCTCGCTCGAGCTTCGCACTCCTCGACAAATGCTCGGCATCTCTTGCAGCTGACAATTCAAGCTCGGCTACCGCAGACCAGACGTCAAAAGACAATGGGGCAGGGCAGAATGAAAACCCGCAAGATGGGATGCATTTCGACTGCTGAAGGGAGTCAAATCGGACCCAGCAACCGAGAACGGTGTGTAAAGTTACAGAAATGAACTCGCATGGCATTCTGCACCCGCTGCGACAGGAGATGCAGCCCGCGGGCGAGCAAAGAAACAATAGAGCCTGTCAAGGCGCTGAACACGGCGAGAATTGAACGACTAACAAACTCCGCTACTTGTACAAGGACCTGATGTGGAAATTATTGGCAGCGAGCTGAGTTCCTCGAGCCCAGTGCAGCGTGTCTAATCCGCATGCTTTGCATCGATTCTAGTTTCCAGATCGACCCCATCGGAGCACGGACGGGACGCTAACTAACTAAAGCTATTCTAGAGTTTGGTCCTAACGAGCTTGATTTTCCTGGTCAGAGGTCGGTAAGGAGGATAGGGATTCACCGCAAGGCCTTCGCATGCCAGCAACTCTTCCAGCAGAGCCACCTTCTCGTCCTGCAATCTTTGAACGTCGTCCTCCATCTTTTCCAACTCGTCCACGAGAAACGTGGTCTCGGCGAGCAGCTCCTCTAATCTCTTTCTGGCATTCTTTATCACAACTTCGCGCTCCTCGTCCGAAACGGAGAATTCGGGCTCCAAGTCCTCGTCGTCCTCGTCGTCGCTTTCCGGCTCCGGGACGCGCTTGCGAGACGATGGCTTGAGCACTTTCATGCCTGGCGGTCTCGATAACCTTTCCCTCACATGGCAGGTGGTGATGGTAGCGCTGGTGGGGATGAATTTCTCGTCTCTGGGCATCTGCTGCTGATGCTTCCTCTGCTGAGAGCTCGGTGCGCTCCGGCGCTTCGTCACCACCTGAACCTTCAGTTTCACAGGGGTCAAATCCTTGGACGCCTTGGGGTTCGCAGGAGCGGGAGCAGGTGCTGCCGACGCAGACGTCCTACTTCGTGATTTCGACTTCGGTGGAGAAATTTCGCGTGGAGGCTCCATAGCCCGCGGCAGCTTGATTTTGATCATCCGAGGGAGGAGTGCGCAGTTGTTGAGCCAGACGGACAGAAGTCCGACGGTGCAAAAGATGACGACCAAATGAACGGAAGTATGAATGTTTGCTCGCTCGCTCACGTCCTTTCCGGTCAAAGAGTGCGTTGCGCTTCGCAGGTCTCTTCCATCGAGGTGGTCGAGGACGAGAACGAGGACGTGCTAGCTCTTCATGATGATCGTTTAACCCTAACTCGCCAATTGCCACCTCTCCGCTCTGCCCGTCCTCTTCCTTTCAAGCGTGAGAATTGCGCCCCAAGACTTGCAGAAGAGCCTCGTCCTCCACCTCCATTCTGGGCTTCACGTCACTCGAGCCTCATCATGACCCTATCTATCTATCTATGCACAAAGGGCCTGCTGCTCGTCTGCCTGCCTGCCTGCCTGCCTGCCTGCCACCTCAATGACGCACCTCCGACCCCGCCCCTCAATGATCGAATTCAGCACTCCTCGCCCTCGGGTTCCATTCTGTGCCGTCGATGGATGCCAGCTTCGCCGCACCGTGCAAATTTCTCGACGTCGCTCGCTCTCACAAGGAGGCGGAGGGCAGCCTTCCTTGGGAGCAGCAAGAAAACAGCGCCAATTCCTCGTTGCAGCTCCTTCGTCTGCAGCCTCGAGACTCGTTGAGGCGACTCGGACGACTTTCGGTGGATCGAACCATCGGCCCGGGGGAAGAGGATTTATAGAACCATCGGGAGCAGGATGCCGCTGAGACGCCAGCACGGGAGCGCATGAGAGAGAGAGAGAGAGAGAGAGAGAGAGGCACAGAGAGAGGAAGCAGACGGACACTGATTTCGAGAAGCTTTGATTCAGCAGCTCCGATTCTTAAATGATACTATAACAACACCACGTGCCCGAAAATCTCAAGGGTCAAACACATCCAGTCAGTGGAAAATGCATCATTGAAGAAGATGGATAATGTTTGGCGTGCGGGGGGAGAATTTGTCGTACGTCGGAATTCTTCCCCAGCTCGCACCTTCTTTCCCGTAGCCTTCACTCCAATCCTGCAGGAGCAGAAAAAGCACTCCGCTGCCTTCTTTACGTCGCGCGCTCATCATTCATCCGTCGTCGCCCAGGCCCCTTTTGGCAGATTGTGCACATGTTACGACCGGCTCTGCTACACAACATGCCATCCTCAGCACATGCACCAGCCCGCGCACGCACTTTATGAACTTTCTGCTGCGCTTCAGCGCCTCTGCCACTCCAGATTGGATCCCCGCGCGTTCGCTCAGCTACCAAATCTATCGCCTGCTCCTCCCGCGCCTTTCCACTTGTCGCCCCGCTCGCGCTCCCTTTCCGCCCTCCGCGGGCCCCGGCGCGCCATGGCGCCTTCGCCCCCCGTTCACCCACTTCCGTCTGGCCCTCGGGCTCAATCCAAATTCTTCAAAATCCGTGCCCCCCGTTGTTATCCAAGTGGGTGAAATCGTTCAACGACTCCCACTGATTGTGCCCGCAAAGCCCGCAGCAGGTGCCGCCCCTCGCATTTCTTACCTCGAATTCTTACTCCCCTCTCCCGCTCCGCTCTGCTCTGCTCTGCGTTGCTTTGCTTTGCTTTGCTCGACTTCCCAAAAGACAAATCGAATCAATATTCCCCCGGCAGACCAAGTGGAATTAAAGCGAGCGGAGATGGTGAAAAGAGTCCGTGCGTGCGTGAGTGCGTGCATCTCTCTTTTCTTTGCTCCGTGAGGCAACCGGCCGACGACGGACGGACGGACGGACGTCGGGCAAGATGTTGTGACAGAGGCTCATTAAGTCAGACGATCGTGCATGCGCTCGACGATCGGTTTCATTCGTTCGGTTCTTGAGGTAGACCTCGCTCGTCGATGGGCGAGGGAAGCTTGTAAAATCCGCAGCTCTTGCGAGGCGGCAGAAAAGAAGTGTTGGATCGAGCCCTCGCGGGTCAATGACGCAAGGCTGGAAATCGTTCGGTAAACTTTCGGCCATTCGTGCACCGGAAATGGTGTTGCTCAAAGTAACTCGAGCGAAGCGAGCTCTCAGACGATCGGAATGTCTGATCCAAACCAAATCTCACGCGTAGACAGGCAGGCAGGCAGGCAATCCGATCAGTCCATGACACTTGTGACGGACAAATCTTCGACGACGCTCATGTACATGACACTCAATCCTCCACATGCCGCGACATGGTTCGCCACCAACTGCACTCGAGATGGCCCCGCTCGGGGGCCGTATGAGATGCAGAGGAGGTAACGACTTGGCCCGACACCTGCTGCCGCTTTTGCAGAAACCAGTGAGAAGAGGACGAGAAGGTCCTCCGCCCGCCCGCCGACGAGAACTTTCCCTGGCGCAGCATTCCGCGGATCCAGGATTCCAGGCCCGGCCCGCGCTTGCGCTTGCTCGGGACCCGAGCCCCTTGTGGTTGGGACTCCGACGGGGCGACGGAGTCACAAGAGATTGGAGCCTCCCTGCAGACGACGCATGGCATCAGCATTTTTGTCGTGAAATGTTGTCGTTGCTTGCGCAATGCACCTCGTGTCTATCGCAATGCGGGGGAGGTCGTCTCGACCAGCAGCACCCGTGAAGGACTGCGACTGCATGGATGGAGCTCGCCCGTCGAAGCGTTGCTCAAGCGTACACAAGGGAATGAATGAATAAGCGAGCAACGAAGCTCCGTATCTTCCCTCCTCTTTCTCCTCGCATCCGCTGGTGGCCATCGCCGCGAGCCATCTCTCTCATCCCCGTTGCATCCTCCGGAAGTAGAGCAGCTTACGAGAGACCGGTCATGTTGAAGACGCTTTCGTTTATCGATGATGATGATGATGATGATGCAAGTTTAGGGTCCGCTTAATCGAGTCCTTCGATGGCTGATTACGTGAGGCAAATCAGGTGCCGGCTCCAGAGGACGAAAACCCGCAGCAGCGCCACCACCAACTGACACCAGGAAATGCACGCGACTGGCTGCAGACTGTCAATCCAGAAGCGTCACCCTGATTCTGCTCCCCTGCTTCTCCGAGACAGAGCAGGGCAGGGCAGACCAACGAGCTTTGGACTACGCGAGGTCAGTGAGCCGAGCCGCCGACTTGATCGAGGCTTCCGAGTGGGATGAACGAGTCGAGGACTGTGGCAGCAGCCGCGACGGGTACGCTGTTGGTGGCCGCAGCAACTCTCTGGCTCTTGGGCTCGAGATGGGTCCGCCAGTCGCCAGCCGGGCACGGAGGAGGGGGTGGCGATGGAGACCAAGGAGCAGCAGCAGCAGCCGAGAACAAAGCGAAAGTCCAACGCGTGAAGCGGAGTGTCAAGAATGGGCTTGTGGGCTTGATCGGGAACACCCCACTGATCAAAATTAGAAGCCTCTCTGATGCTACAGGTTGTGAGGTTGGTTTCTCTCTGCTGAATCCTTTCTTTTCACCTTGTTTCATCGTCAGACAGTAGCCTAGCACTCGGATATGAATACCATCTCCGAATGAAGCGAAGCATGGCGTGACTGTCACCCAATCTCTTGTTAAGGACGGGATTGACGGAATTGACTCGATTTAATGCCGTCGAGTCAGTTGTGGCTGAACTTCCTCCAATTAACTGATATGTCCATGATTTTCTGCTTACAAATGGTGTGCAATCCTCCCTCAGTGGGGTTTCAAAGGGCGATCGGTGGAGAATAAGTGATAGTTGAATCGACTTCATATCCTTTTCAGCCTGATTCTGAGGTTATATAACATCCGGAGGCATTGCTCTCGGTCACACTAAAGCTCAGTTGTCATCTCAACTTCAAAAGTTGGTCGTTACACAGAAATCTGCCCTCCTGAGCACTGAACAATATGTTTGATTTCTGTATCGAGCCCGATCGCTTCCAAAGGTCACGTCAGCGTAGCAAGGAAGCTCTTCACTGCTCCTTGGGCGATTCAAATGAAAAGCTTTGCTTCATGGAGTGTTAAACGGTTTCTTTCTCCAGCTCGTTCTTAGTGTCGACCGTGTTGCTCCGCCACGCCTCCAGCACATGGCATGAAGACATGGAACAGACATCAATCACGGCTTTCGTTTATGTGGTCCAATCGAAATACCCACCAGCTTGCAGGCGGGAAACCAACTTTATTTTTCTGCTGTAGGGGTTACCTCAGCATGTGCATTTGATGTAAATGGACGTCGATAATTATCAGTCATTGATACTGTGAATGGTCGTAGGCTTCACCAGGAACTAGGCTTTGGTAAATACTCGGAAAAGGTAGATGGATTGTCAGGTGACCATGTCGAAAGAGTAGTATGAGCTGAATTCGATATTAGTGAGAGCAGGTCTGGTCGTATTCAGAGGTCTGGAGGTTCCAAGAAGTGAAGTCTCATCTAAGAGTTGCTCATCTGCAGATACTCGGAAAGGCGGAGTTTTTGAATCCTGGCGGCAGTGTAAAGGATCGAGTGGCGGTCAAGATAATTCAGGAGGTCTGTCACTCAGAGTAACACAGCCTGCAAGGTGCTACAAGCCTTCATCTGAAATTTTCCTCAAGTGCGCGTGACTGCGCTGGAGAAACTTCTGGCAGCAACGCAACCTCAAATGCTGTTATGGAAGTTGTTGAATAATGTTATCATGTTGCCATCATGTCTTTCTTGGTCAAGCATCTGTCAAATTGCCTGATCTGGAGACTCTTTGCTCTGGTATGTTGTCCACGAGTGATGATTCTGATGTGGAAGATTTCTTTTGAACACTAAACCTGTCGTTCTCATTTATCTACACATTGGTTAGGCTCTTCAAAACGGTACCCTTCGTGTTGGTGGTCTCATAACGGAGGGAAGTGCTGGAAGCACAGGAGTCAGCTTAGCCATGGTTGCCTCAGCTTACGGATGCAAGTGTCATGTCGTCATTCCAGACGATGCAGCCATTGAGAAGGTTAGTGTCCGTATTATGGATATCGCGTTGTACCCTCTATTATTTTTTCCTTTATATCATCTTTCCAATCAATCCGGCAGGGATCTTGTCCTCACCTTTGTGCGGTTGATGAACCATTCAGGCTCAGAATTTGGAGGCTCTCGGTGCCACTGTGGAGCGGGTGAGGCCTGTTTCCATCACACATAAAGACCACTTCGTGAACATCGCAAGAAGGAGAGCGACAGATGCGGAAACCTTAAGGCTTCGCAACAGTCAAGTCACACAGCTCAAAGGGCTGCAAGAAAACAGAGGAGGGTTTTTTGCCGATCAATTTGAGAACCTAGCAAATTTTCGAGCTCACTACGAAGGAACTGGACCTGAGATATGGCAGCAAACAGGTGGCAACATGCATGCGTTTGTAGCCGCTGCTGGGACTGGAGGAACTATCGCAGGAGTCTCTTGCTTCCTAAAGGTAAAAATTTATCCAAAGTCTTTCCATTCTGATGGAGAATGTCCTGTATTCTGACCACATACTAGGCCTAAAGCATCGGCCTCTAGCCTTCAGGGTGATAATATGCAGCTCGAACTCATCATCGATTAAATTCTTCTTGTATACCCCCGGCCGCCAGAACTTCGATAGATAGTAGATGTCCCTTACTGGTTTACTTCTACTTGTACCTACTTTCTTCTTGGCGATACAAAGATTTTTGAGTGCTTAGGAAATTGAGAGAAGAACATAGCTGCCGACAAGATTTAAGCTAATATCAAACACATTAACTTCTCCAGTCTCCTCCTTATCTCACTCTCGAATCATGAGGATTTTCTTTTTGGTCTTAGTTGCTGTGAGTATCATGGACTTGTACAACCAGATGCTTCTAGGTTGTACAAGCAGTCAAGCTTCTTGTATAACTTTTCGGATACGAATGGTTACAGTCTATGGCGCTGAGCTAACGAGTTGCGTATGACTGCAGGATCAGGACTCTGGTGTGAAATGCTATCTGATTGACCCACCAGGTTCAAGTCTATTTAATCGGGTTACACGTGGAGTGATGTATACCCGCGAGGAAGCAGAAGGAAAACGGCTGAAAAATCCCTTTGACACTATCACCGAGGGTATCGGAATCAATCGACTGACCGAAAATTTCAAACTTGCTCAGCTTGATGGTGCTTTTCGTGGCACCGATAAAGAAGCGGTGGAAATGTCCAGGTAAGGACTGCCTTCAGAGTACCTTCCTCTTTTGCTCAGGGCAGTTATTCCGTCATTGCTTGCTTCTGCTTTTCCCTTCACGCCCACTCATGTCTCACACTCACATTTTCCCACAATAAGTGTTCCTGTTTTCCTGTTATTTCATTTTCATAGATGCTTGCTCCGACAGGTTTCTGCTGAGAGAAGACGGCTTATTTGTGGGGAGCTCTTCTGCCATGAACTGTGTTGGTGCAGTTCGAGTGGCCCGTCAACTCGGGCCTGGTCATACGATTGTAACAATTTTGTGTGATAGCGGAGCTCGCCATCTGAGCAAGTTCCATAATCCGAAGTACCTGGCTGAGCATGGACTTACCCCCTTTGCAACTGGACTGGAGTTTCTGGTACCCCAATAGTTTACTCATGGATAGCGCCTGTTGTGGACTGACAAAGACCATAGGACGTTTCAGTGGTCGAGCAGGACAGGACGAGAGGAAGAGAGCTTTTTTCATAAAGTGGGGAATGTGTTCCCCAAAATGATGTTGGTGCGGAGCAACCAGGTGTCAAAGTCGGAAACCTCGCTTCGAAACACAACGTGCTTTGTGTTTTGAAATAAAAGGCAATAAAAGGCCTGGAAGTTCAAGTTTTAATCGATGTCAATGAGTTACTGGCTAGAATACTTTGAGGGGTAGAAAGTAAGGATATCCAGGCGGAAGTTTCCTGGACAACAATCATGTCGAACATTGGTTTGAGGATTGGGAGTTTTGAAGATAGGAGCAACGTAAGATGCATCATGTGGAGCATTGACTTCGATTCCTTCTGATCCGAAGATGCCACGAGGTGAAAGATATTTGAGCTTTCACCTACATGTTTAACTGCTTTGATTTCCCGGCCCGCACATATCCACACAGAACTTCAAGTCTCCCCGGAGTTACTTTGTGAAGGAGGATTCTTCCTCTGGTGAGAAAAAGAGAGATGTCTCTTCAACTGGGAACATTGCCAGGACCTCCATCACCATACTTTTGACTGTCATGTTTTCACACACCATTTATCAGATTACACAACAAGAGAAGCCCACTGTTATCTAATGAATGTGGTTTGGTAGGTCATGGTACGAGAGGTTTTGATTAGCTCCTGGCTCTGGAAAAGATTCAAAGTAAAGTGGATCGGTTCTTGTCAGCTCCTGTTTTCAAGTACACTGTTGTGTACTTTTGTTGATGAGTTGCAGAGCAATGAGGATGTTTGTACGTGTGTACCGGGGACACACGAAGTGCTTCCCTCTAAAGCCCGATGATGAGTCAGGGATGTCCTCATCTCATCTCTCGCCCAAGGAACCTGGGTGTCGTGAGCATATACGACACTCATCCACGGATTTAACCAGAAAATACTTCATCTCACTTTCTGCCGTAAGCTAACGCGTTTGAAGCCCCAATTTGCAACAAGTGAAAGCCCAACAAACATCGGTGAGCGTCACGTAACTCTCGCTGGCCAACGATACTAGTAAGACCGAGGCTAGTCCTGCTCCTCAACGTGCACGAAAACAGGTGTACCAGATGGTTCTGTTAGTGGAGGGTCGAGGACTGTCAGCAAGTACCGTCTGAGCCGGTGTGGGATTCGCGTCGATGAAACTAGTCGGCTGACAGCAGGGCTGAGAAGTAGAAGTTCTCTGGAGCTCGAGTTGGCAGCAAAGCAGATAGCTCGAATGACGATGAAGTAAAAGCAAATGTCCACGACCCCAGCGCAGTGAAGCTGAGCTTAACATGGCACGGGTTCGTCCATCCGTGGGCCTGATGCCAAGTGGGTCATCGGCACAGACATCAGCGTGAACCGATGTCTGGGACCATGGGTGGGGGCGGGGGGGGTGGGTTGGGGTTTGACTGATTCCAGAGCCCGATGTTCCCGATCCAGTCTGGATAACTCCAGGGCTCCGGGTCGTGGAGCTCATGCGCCATTAATCTTCCGCTAACGGACATTCATCAACTTGCCGACCGCCTGACCCGCGAATTTATTGCACCTCCCCGGGGCCGGCTCTGGGGCTGTGCCATTCACCGCATCGAAGAGTTCCCATTCAGCGACAAGGGGAGTTTCTGTGAGCTCAAAAATTTACGTTACTTGGCACGACCTCGCATTTTCGGCATCCATCATCAGCTGCGCAAATAATTCATGTCCCATGAACATTTTCTGTCTCTGCAGCATCAGGATCCTCATCGCCAGGTGTTTTTCCCAAATCCTCTAAAAGATACACCAAAGTCCTTACGGGCAAATGGTATTGTACGTTTATTCATGACTTTGGGGGGGATTCAGAATAAATCATTGCTTTCGCATGTGTCTGACCGTTCTAGGAGTATGACTTGAACCTACATTTAAGAACTAGTAATTCCCGGGTTTTGGACCTGGGTTTCACTACAATGAATGAGACTTTTCCGCGACTTTCTTAGCGGAATGGAAAGCGTCTTCACCCCTCTACAGAATTTTAATTTGTGTCATTCGCCGATGTATCTGAGCCGGGTGAAAAATGCGTAGAAATTCTGTCTTGATGGCGATTTTTGTGATACAGGTGACTCCGTTAAGTCAGGGAGGTTTCGGAAATACCAGAAGTACGGAGGGCAGTGAAACATGAAAGACAGCAACCTGAAACGGACCACTGCAATCCGAAGGGGACCTATTGAAATATTATCCCAAGAATACATGCTGGCCTAGTCATGAAGTCCACCTCAGTTGACCTTTCTCTGCCTCTACCAGAATAAGGTTTAATCACTTATTCGGTTTCTATGCACTTTGATGCAGATTTTATCAGTTCTTCGTTATTCAATCATTTTCCCCAACACAATAGGAAGATAGAGGAGTTCAAGTAAAAACCAAGAGGAAGGAGAAAAATTGTCGGAAAAGAGAGGAACGCTTCTTCTCTTTTCAGACAGATGTGCTTATATCTATAGCATTAACTCATATTCCCACAAAGAATATATGTACGAGAATTTGCAGCTCTTGCAACGGATGTAAGAGAAGATCTGATGCACAAGTTGATGTAGATGTAGCCTTGGCATGGCATATTCCCTTGTCAATAATAATGAGTTCTCCGCAGCAATCCTACGACCCTCTATGTTGTGTTCTGTGCATTCTTGTGTTTAGCAAGACAGTAGGAATAATTGAACTGCAAGAATGTTTACAGCTAAAACATCTAGGCATCCACCCTATAGGTTATTAGGGGGTTCAAAAGACAAAACCAACGCGATTTATGGCAGTTGGATGAAAATGAAAGTGTTTGACGCATCTGTTGGATTTTTACCGCTTTCGAAGAGTTCAAAACTTTTACATCAATCACTTACACTTATTTTTCTCTTCGTTTTATTCACTATCTACAAAAGATTCTCGGTAAGCTTTGGATGACATTAAAACTTCCAAAAGAGTATCAAATGGTTAGTACAATTGATGTGCGTATAATTTGTCATCACTTCACCCTAAAAGATATATCATGTTAACGTTGGTACTCTACCGTAATGAGGGTTTGCAGGTTGACCAGTAACTCGTTATGGCAATCCTCCAACAGGTTTTTACGGGGTAGCGGAAGAGAATTTGTATAGGATCCCTAAAATGCAGCCGCAAACTCTACCTGCAACAGATCAACCCCGTAACATTCTTTGTGACCCACGCAATCACGGAGAAATTACTAGTTTCAACGTTGTGCAGTGTTGAAGGAGAAAAATAATTCTTGAGTTTTTTCGTAAAAGTTTTCATGAGGTTGTTTCCATAAACTATATGCCATGAACATTGCAAGGGACCAGAGGAAAATTCTACAACAATTCTAACATTCTCTCGATGCTCTCAAATCCTAATATTAAACCTTCTCTCATATTTCCAATGACTCTTAGTAGGGTTTGTTTGACTTCGCTACGTTTCAGCTCTCGTCCCTTTTTTCAATTTGTCGCAAGTCGCTTGTTAAGTTAATCAAACTAATACACGTTATAATAAAACGTACCATCTTTGCGGCTTGTTCTCTTCTGTCTGAACCCTATTGTGACTTTGGTTAATGAGTTGAAAAATAAATATATAAGATTTGATCCTTGCTGAGATTTCATCAGTAATATTGAGGAACTTTGATTAGAGCATCCGTGTACTTATTTAATTACCTATCTTATCAATATATCTATTTTTAAGTACTCCTTATATCGAAAATTAATCACATGTTGTCAACTTTGATCCCTCCACTGGAATCTCAAGGTTTTCTGCAAGTTGGACCTCATATGGATATGCTTGACGTCAAAGAAGGCATTTTGGGTAAACCCCTTACCGAATATTTAAGACGTAATCGTTGATCATGCATGCCTTCTCTTGATTTAAAAAACATAAAATGCTAGAGAAGATCAACAGACAATAGTAAAACATCTGTAAGCTTGAAAATATGGTTCGATGTGGTCAACAAAGAAACACTGAAAGATTCTGAACGATATGACGAGTTCCAAATCGCATGTGCTTCAGTTAGGAAACACATCTTCCTTTTCGTATCAGAAAAATTTACAAATTGCTTAGAGTAGTAAATAGGAATAATCTCAACTTCGAAGTGAACAAGCTAGTCCTTTATCAAGGTGGCTTCCGCAATGAAAGCCAAAGTCCAGGTTAGCGCCACCTTGAACACCGGGAAATGACATAAATTTTGTGAGTATATATTTATGGTGATATTGATTTTAGTGTATATACACCCAACACACATCCACTCCATGGTATTTCTTGGGTGTATATCACTAATACCACGGAGTGAGTGTGTGTTAGGTGTAATTACATTAAAATCACCACACTCTATATTTTATTTACTTGTATATTCCATGCACATCATATCTACGGGTCTGGAGACTATGCACAATATTAGTGCTTGCGTCTCTCTTATAGATTACTCTTTAAACTAATTATGAAGCAAAAATAGATTAAGGGATGGGAATCTTCTGGAACGGCCAAGTCGTTTTCCCTAACCAGCAAAATTTATATGCAACCTACATTTTAGACGGCCAGGTGGCGAAATCTTCTCACCAGGTAACTATTTCCAATCGACCTAATACCTTTTTAATTCGTGCCAAGCTTAAGAAATACCGTCATCGTCATGAGAAATCGAGATTGTACAAGCATATCGTGATAAATTTAACCCTCTTGATCTCTTGATCTTAAACGTAAGAAAGGATGTGAGAGATTTCAACAATCAGTATATGTATACATATTTGTATTAAAAACAAAAAAACGTAAGCGCAGGTGAAAGCATGCCATCTTGAATCTCTATCATAAAGATATTTAAACTTGAAAGCATAAGTCCTTGTTTTAACTTCGTTCCGCCCTGAATTTTAGTAAACTTGATATGCTGTATGCGAATACTTGCATCGATTGTATAAAACTGAATCACCGTACCAAGTGCAGATTAGGCAGAGTCGCTAACGCATGCGGCTCGTATATTAAAGTTCACATAATACTAGCATCCGTGAGTATCGTTAACTTGCCCCACTCTGATTGCATGTATTGTATCACATTTGTACCACACCCCTTGAGAAAAAAGTTATGCCTAAAATCAAGTCTTCTTTGTTCAATTCACAAGTTAGCTTTCTCTTGATTCGATTACATTTCATAAAAGAAAGAATTATTTCTAGTTTTTATTTTTTTATTTACTTACTTACTTTTGTATATTATTCCTGTCACGGTGAGGAATTAGACTAGTTCGAGGCCGTCTGCAAAGGGCTGGTTTGTTTCGATCTTGTCAACATCGGCGAACAGAAAGACCCATATTACGATTGTGGTGAAACCGATAGAATTGGACGAAAGAGTTTTCGTGTGGCTGAACAATCTTTCGCCAAGGCAGGCAAGGAAAAAGGACTGTACACGTAGATGTATATCCGGCAAGG